TATGATGAGATCGGATAACACCATTTATGCAAAGATATCGAATTTATTTGCATACCTAAATGCTTAATTCGAGAAGAGTTGTTATTGTTGAAATTTAGAGAAAAGCGAGTATTTAAAAACATGCTGACAAAGAATTTTCATTATTAAAAATCCCCATTTTATAATCGAAAACTTGAATATTGCATTTTCCATTAAATATATTGCCGATAATAATAAGTAATAAGACAAACGCAATTAACAGCAATAGTAAATTTTAATAGTAATAATTGTATGATAATGTCAATGGTAATAATAATAATAACAGTTATAGTAATGGAAATAGTAAATGATAATGAGTGATAACAATAATAGTGGATGAAAACAATAGTAATAATAATAACAACAATAATAATGAAATAATAATAATTATAATAATAATAATTAATAATTAATAATAAAAATGGTAATGGTAATAGTGATAATAATGGTAGTGATGGTAATAATGATAATAATAATAATAATAACAATAATTAATAATAATAATAATAATAATAATAATAATAATAATAATAATAATAATAATAATAAAATAATAATTAATAACGATAATAGTAATAATAACAAGTGACAATAATAGTGATAGTAATAGTGACAGTAATAATAAAATAATAATAATAATAATAACAATAAACAGGAATTGAATGGTATAGGTTGTTAAAGAGATTCGCCATCAACGATTACATTCGGTGCAATCAGCATTGCAATATTTGTATATGCATATCTGTCTAATCGAATATATGCAAACAGTGAAATCATTGCCACAAGATACATGTATACGACGATTTCATCGTGATTATGGAAAATACTTGAAAAAATTTAATGATCGTTTAGCAAAAAATAAACAGCGTCCGGGTTAGTTGTGCGTAATCAAATAATGATTAGTGTTACCATAATGTATGACATGCCATTACTGTATATCGCGAATATGAAATTGTTTATGGATGTGTAAAAATTGCTTTTAATAAATTTGAATTATACCGGAAATCAAATTTGTTGTTCAAATAGTAGATTGAAGAGGATTAATAATCAATTTTAGATTTTGATTATACAAAGCAATCGTACAATGTTTATTAGGAGTGAAAATTAATTAATGCTAATTTTTGCCGATTACAATTTTAATGGACGGCAAATTTTGAAAGGGAAGCATAAACAACAAAGTAAACAAATGTTTAGAAAAATAATCAAAATTTTTGAAAACACTGAGGAAGAGCAAGAAATGTAGTTACAGATGATAAGCGCCTTTCAATAAGTGGTTTGATCAAATATAATCAAATCATTTGTAGTAATTGTAAATAGATGTATTTCGATTAGATCATTTGTTAAATATTTATCGATTATATGTGACTATGCCTTTAGATTGTATTCCATTTTAAAATTTCATTTTAAATCAATCATCTATTACATAGGGTCATTTCATACATTATTGCTTATGAAATTTTATCTCATTGATATATTTGAGAAAGCATTAATTTCAAAGGTCAAATAACAATTTTGATACTTCACTATTTAAAAAAGTATCAATTCCGAAGATCAACAATCATTATTATTTTGGTAATTCACTAGATATTAGCGGTGTCGCCGATTTTCTTCAATCGTGACAATGACTTTTTTTCGTCTGGGGGTTTCGTCTGCTTGTTTGGGTAGTAGTAGCTCAAACTTTGGTAACTGAACATTTTATTGTGATAAATTTATTATTACAACAACGAGCTAAGCAATTATGATATCGATACAAAAACCTGACGAAACTGCTAAAAACAAAGGTAACCAAATGATGCCCGATATCGTATACCCAACCGACCTCGATGAAACATATTTGTAAAGTGACTTGGCGCTCAGGACCCTCCGCTTGCTTTTGTGGGAAGGCCTTGTATCGTTTTACGATTACAACAATTAACTTCCTTGTGGAATGCACATTGGTATAGTGTTTTGTTAGCACAAACATAAGACGATATGAGCATACAAAACAAAGATGTCTCGCTTTCAACAAAGGAAACTATTGTTCCTTTGTTACTACTCGCGATATCAGCGGCACTCCCGAGGCAAGTGTGGTCTGCACCTTATCCTTACTTGGAAACTCCAATGGATAGAGGTGTCCTATCGCTTTCGATAGCTCCTGCAATTCTCCATGTATTTCTGGGATAGTCTCCTTTCAACAACACCAGCTCATCATTTTCGGGTTCTCATCGTATTCGGCTGCAAGGTCCGCGGTGTTTGTGCTGAACTCGTTTTCTTAATTCTTCTTCTTGGGAAATTGTTTTTCTGTTGAACTCGTTTCTCGGCGATTTATTCGGGATGTAATATTGTTCTTACACAATATTACTAGTTAACAACAAAAAGGATATAAAATATATATGTATATAACACGATGAATTGGTAAGCAATAATAAACATGATATAATAATAACAATAATAAACACTAACAAACTCCTTGTAGTTGTCTTGGACAATAATTTAACTGTCGGTTAGTTGATAGGTCGTTGAGTTGGGAATATGTTACGAGAAATGTATTTAGTGAATAGAAGAATATCGTAGTTTGTTGTCCAGTGGTGGCGGATATGCGAAGATGTCGTTAGTTTTGGTTTGGCCGCGGAGGACAGGCGAAGATGTGTCGTCTGTTCGATTGTAGAAACTGAACTATCTGTCTGGGGGTTTTTCCATATATATACATAAGAATTAAGGAGGAGCTTTGTAAGCTCTACCGGGGCTATCGTGGAGATATGGCCAGCCTTTGGCGCTGTCCATTGTATAGTTACTGAGACGTTTTTGTTTTACGCTGTCCATTGTTAGCTTATATTCTCTTCATTGCTTTAATTTTACAAGATTTCGTCACTCCGTTTGTTGGATATTGTGAAATTTTTGTTTGAACGTAGCTTTAATTTCGGTAATCCTACGGAAAATTTGCATTATGATTTTCGGAGTTTTTTCGACACTTCCTAGGTATTCTCGCCATATTTCCATTGATGATGAAGTCTCTTGCATATGGTCATATATTGATGTTCCAATCCTTTTGTTTGTGAATTTTCTTCCCCTCATATCTTGTCCCCACAGTAATACCTGGCGTTTAGTCTGAAGGTCTTCTGGGATTTTCCAGCTCCAAGTAAACTCATCTTTGATATTATTTCATTCGATTCCGTCGGTCTAAATTGTTTAATGCTTGTCTAATGCTAACAGTCTGATAGAGGTCTTTGTTATTTCTTGCTCACTGTCTACCTCAATATCATAGTTTGCATGGAATTCTCTTAAGTGCATCTTGCTTAAAGAAATCCTTTCCTGCGCATTTCTGTTACTTTCTAACTCACTAGAGATTCTTTGCTACTTCTGCTGATAATTTAGAGCTTTCTTCATCCAGTAGATATCTAATGACAGCGGCTAGGAGAAAAAGTGGTGATAACACGCTGCAATGAACTCGCCTGAATTGGTAAGAAGCTAGGTTTTCTTGAGTCACTTCCTTCGTCTTATCTTTTAACCATAGAAACCTGATGACATCTCTGACTTGCAGTTTTTAGCCTCACTTGCAGAAATGCTTTCTCTACATCGGCTATCACCAGATAACATCCTTGTCTGCCCCGTAATAGAGTTCCTATTAATAATGGTATCATTAATGGCCACCTGTACAGACATTCATTTAATGATGGACCTTCTTTCGTCTTTGCTGATGCGTTAAATACTAAGTTTCGTCGTGGATTTCTGATGTGTTATTACTGCTCGGTGGGCCAGGTAAGATACTCGCCATGTTCCATTCCGATTTCTTACCCTTTCTCTGACTTCTTCCTCAAGTAAGGTTTCAATATGCTCATCGTAACATTCCAATAATTCTAATTTTGTATTATAGTTCGTAGACGTCCCCATGCCAAAAACTGAGGGTTCTTTCTGCCTCTTTAGTTGTTAGTACCTCAAACTTGGGTAATTGAACCTTTATTACGATAAATTTATTAATACAACAACGAACTTGCAAATATGACATCGACACAACAAATTAATAACGACAAGAACAAAATACACAAGAACAAAAAAGACAAATCACGCCTGATACCTTATATCCAACCGACCTCAATGAAACACATTTGAAAAATGGACTAGTGCTCAGGACCCTCCGCTTCCTCGACTGGGAGGGTCGAAGAAGCCGATTTTCTCCAACCGTGACAAGGATTGAGGATTCTTTCTACTTCTTTGAGTAGTGGTACCTCGAACTTGGGTAATTAAATCTTCTATTATGCTAAATTTACTAATACAACTGTCGCTGATGTCGCAAGTAGAAACAGGGATAATAATCTCCCTCTTTGAAAGCTAGGCATCTTTGTTTTGTATGCTCATATTGTCTTACGTTTGCACTAACAAAGAACCCTATAGCAATAACAAAGAACCCTATACTCTATAAGGAAGCTAATTCTTGTAAACATAAAGCAGTACAAGGACCCTCCCAGTCGAGGAAGCAGAGGGTCCTGAGCACTAATCCATTTTTTCAAATGTGTTTCATTGAGGTCGGTTGGATATAAGGTATCGGGCGTGATTTGCCTTTTTTGTTCTTGTGTATTCGTTATTAATTTGTTGTATCGATTCATATTTGCAAGTTCGTTGTTGTATTAATAAATTTATCGTAATAAAGGTTCAATTACCCAAGTTTGAGGTACTAACAACTAAAGAGGCAGAAAGAACCCTCAGTTTTGGTCGCGGTTGGAGAAAATCGGCGACAAAATTTGTTCCAACCAATCCGATTCGAACCAGCGACCCAAGGATTCGATCGAGAAAGAAGCGATTAAAGTCTTATTCAATCAAGAAAGAAGCGAAGAAGGGAATAATTCTTATTCGCATCAGCTTATAACAAAGCTTGAAAGTGAGGTCGAAAGAAAATATGAATGTAAACGAATCAAGAAAGGAAAATTCTCTTTCCTATCTCATTACAAGAAATTTGAAGTGTCTTGCAAACACTGCGGGAAAGGCTGTTGAAAAGGCAATAGAACTAAGAAAAAAGGATCTAGCAGAAGGATTAAGTTACGAAAGAACGATGGAATGGTTAAAAGGACAAAAATATGATATTGAGAAACAAGTAATAGTGTTGGACGATATAATCACCGAGGGAAATGATTTGAAAATAGAGTGGAAAGAATTGTCACATTCAGCAAATGATGATGATTGGGAGAATAACACTTGCGTTACACGAAGATTACTTATACAGGAAGACTATTTGATAAGGGAACTAAGATTTATTGTGAAAGAGCTTCACTTCTTATGAAACTAAGTCGAATAAGTGAAACAATCACAGAAGTTAAAGTGAAGTGTAAAAAGACAGATAATGAACCAGCAGCAATAGAAGGATAAAAGAAGAGTCTAGAAGACTTAATTGAAAAGATAATCACGACCAGTAAACCACCGACTTTAGATCCAGTAGAATTTGATGACAACCCGAGAATGTGGGGCCAATTTATTAACCAGTTTGAAGAATCAATTCACAAGAGAACGAATTTAACGCCCACACAGAAATTCATGCATCTATTAAATAGTTTGACAGGAGAAGCAAGAGAATAAATAAGCGGCTTCATGGTAAATGAAGAAAATTACCCGCTGGCTTCAGAGAATTTGTATGAACGATATGGTGATAAAAAAAACAAAGAGTGAAGAATTATATAAAAGCTTAAAAAGAGTTCGATGCTCAAATAAAGAACCATTTAGAATGGTAAGGGGGCTCCTGAATTTACTGTCCCAACTAAAGGGATTAGGAGGAAACATAAAAACGCACAACTGTTTCGCATAGAAACGCACAATTATTTAAGTTTCTTCAGGCATAGCTAAATATTTTCATCTATTTTAAGTTCTGATAATTTACAATTATAGATTTGTTTTAAATGAATTTTTATATGTTTTCATTTCTTCATATTAACATATTAATATATTTACTGTAAGATATGGTATTAATGGTAATATTTTATACGAAATGTTTTCATCGGTTTACTGTTCTCTATTATTTTCTTTTCTGGTGTAAGGATAATTATTGTTATATTCAAATGTTAGGCAGTTCAAATAATCATTGCAAATTTTGGAGTAGAAATGAAAAATAATGTTATATGTCTAGTTCTGTTGCATATTTGCATTTGCATTTATTGCTTAATTATTTATAATTTATTGTTTTTTATTTATTGTTTGTGATTATTCATACATTTTTGATTATGCTTATTTATTACGCAATTGTTTTTCAATTTGGAAACTTTTTCCGGTGATATTTAATGAATCTAACTATATGTTACTTGCAAATTAATAATTATTAGTCATAATTACTAGAATTTTTCTTATTTTTAGACAATGTATTTTGATTGTATTTCTTTGTGTAAAAGGTATTATTTAGTTCCATTTCATAGCAATTTTTCAACTTCTTCGCTGCATTTTAATTAATTTTGAATTTTTTTAATTATATTTGCATTAACGGTACTTTCTTTTAATTATATTTTCATTAATTCGTCGACTCTTTTAATTGTTCTCCCATTAATTGTAGATCTTTTTAATTACGCTTTCAATAGACCCTTTTAATTATGCTTCCATTAATTGCAAATCCTTTTCATTTTTTTTTATTTCCTTATTTAATCAAACTTGTCGTTCATAGGAAAATGATAAATTAAACTTATTTAACAACTATTTCTACTTTTAATAAGAGGATGTAATTATAAGAGTTATATCAGTGAATTGTCATGTTAATTATCTATAACATTTCCTTATATTCCTTGTATAAGCCGTTGGTTTGGTTTTTTTTCATCATAGTTGTTCTTTGTTGTTTTTAACGAAGATGATAGAAAAACCTAACCTGTGAACATTTATTATTTGTTGATTGATTCAACGATTTATGTATATTATTTTTTTCTTGAATTTTTATACTCCTTTTTTAGTAGAAATGTAAATATTGTTTTGAGGTTCCCTTATGTGATTCAATATTTGACATAAATTGTTATAGTAAGCCAAATACAACTAACTCTGCTATTAAGCAATTTGGCTTTCCGATAAGAAAAAGTATTCAATTTTTCAAGTTTTGATTATTGTCATCTGTGCCATTCGTTTAATTGATAAGTTTTCATTTTCCGGTACTGTATTTTCTGCCATGCATAAACTTCTTGCCTGATAACTGATTTCTTGATCACAAGTTATCAGGGAAAATCAAATGTCTATTATAAAGTCATAAAAATGAATTGAGAGAGTAAAGTTATCATAAATATATGCAACAGATGAACTGCAACAATGGTTGAAGCCAAATCAAAATTACAAGAATAAAAAAAAAAAAAAAAAAGAAAAAACTCAGAAAGAAAAAAAAGAAAAATAATAAAATGAGAAATGATCATTACATTGATCTATAAAGAGTTCTGTAAAGAGACAAAGGGACGAGTAACCATCCCGTTATGAAATATACGACAATGCTATAATACTCAATAAAATTGAATAAGATAAACATTTTGTTTTAACTGATTTTCGCGCAACTATTTTATGTACCATTCGTCGCTAAACTATTGTTGACAAAGGAAGATGTGTGAGCATGGATTGACATGTTGATTGAAAGCTTTGAAACATCGAACAGTGAATGTATCAGTGAAATGTGTTGTTACAAAGATTATATCAGTTTGTTTTTTTTTTTTTTAAATAATTGAAGCTGTTTGAATGATTTTTTGCTGGTTTGATTTGACCTTTATTTGAAAGAAAGGATAAATATAAGTATTATCCATTCATCTCAACGCAAATGAAAGTATTAGTAGCAAGAGATTGTAGTAATTGTAAGACATGTAAAAGTTCACAAAGAAAAATATGAATAAAAGCTATTCGCAGTGATCATTTGATTGTGCTGCGTGCTGTTTTTGATAGCTATCGAAATATGCCAAAAGAAGATTTCATTTGGTTTTATAAAAATTATTGTTTATTGTATTCTTTAAGATATTATATTAGATAATAATATAGAGGATGTTTTTTGCTCACAAAATTGCTAGTTAATTAAATAAGTAAGGCAATGGTTGTCGTCTGAAAACGAAGGAAAGGAAAAAAGTTTGAAATTTGAAATTTTATCCTTATCAGGGAAGGAATAATTCTTCGGGAATTGTATTCAAAAATTTACTCAGCTTCTCTTCCATCCTAAATAGTTTATTTTTTTTTAGATCATTTAGGCTTCCAGTCAAGTGTACATGTTTTCTATGTATCATTAATATATTTGTATTTCTTTTTGTTATTCTTTTTTTTTTCTGCTTGAAATTCATGTATTTTTTTAATTCACTTTGAATTGATAAAAAAATAAAGTGAAGTAAATTTTGTGATATTGTGATTACGGAATCTGATAAATTATTTGTAAACAATCAACAGATTATGGCAAGTACTTCCAACATGGATGTGGAATTTCATCCTTAAGTAATCATGGTTCTGCTGCTATATCGACTGCTAATGCAATTTCTGCTTATAATTCAATCTTGGCACACCTGGAATTTTTAGATATTAGAATTTTAGCCATTATGATGATTTGATAATGCTAAAATCAATGAAAAATTTATGTTGATAGAATTACGAGACAAAGAATGGGAAACTATTAGAACACTTGGTAAGGGTTAGTTAATTAAAAAAGACATTAATTTATAAGTGTTTCAGCTTTTTTTTGTCTCTGTTTTCCTATTCATCAAGATAGGAAAGATGAAGAAATCATTATCTCAAACAATTCTTATCAAATATAATTTCATCTAATTACGATAACTATATTAAGTAATAATATAGTTTAAAAATTTTTCAATGTTGTTGAAGTTTTGATTGTAAAATTTGAAAATACTCGTATTATAGATGTAATTTTAAAGTATATCTCGTAAAAAACAGTGATGGAATACAATTTGCGATGCGTTGACGCTATCAAAAAGATCGTAGTACGAATGTTTATGAAAAAAGATGGAAAATATTAGCTTGCAACTTTTTCAAATATAAGACTACATACCAAACATTTGATTTCATTTTCTTTTTTTTTTCGGAAAATTGTTTTATATATTTCGTTTTTTTTTTTTTTGATTTCCGTAAGAAAAAATTACATTTGTTTATGATAATTATTTAGGCTTTGGAATGGAAAAATTTATTGGTTATCATCTTAATATTGCAAAGCTAATTTTGGCTTTCGTGAAGTTAACTTGTGTTCACAACAAATTATGAAGTATGTTAATGACTGTAATCTTTACGACTTCATTGAAGCAAAATATATTAAAGGTATGAATTAATCACTTAAAAGTTCAAACGTATAAGAAATTTGAAGTTTAATTTACTTAAAGCATACTTGAAATTATTTCCAAAATATGTCAATTCAATTTATAATTTTGTTAAAAATTTCATTCCTTTATCTTACCAATTATCATTCAAATTTTAATTATTACTCCTTCTTCTTCTAGAAAACCAACAAATGGGAATCAAAAAAGTGCGATCATTGTTTAGTGATCTATTGAAGATAGTATAAAATACCTTCTCGATCGTTAAGGCAATGCATAGTTTGTAACCATATCAAAAAGAACAAACAAATATTTAAACATTAAGATGCCTCAAAAGTTTTGACGAAAACGAAAACAAAACAACATTACTCGGCGGAATAATAATCACATGCAACAATTAGCGCTCACACTACTTTAGTAAATGACCTGAATCAACTAGCCATTGCACACATTTCTTTCTAACTTATTGCAAATCACAATTCTTCTCTCCTGTTACGACAATACAACATGCTGATATTCATCCATTACCATATGAGGTCAAATTGAACGAAATAGAATCATTGAAATGTTTTCAATTAACCAAAAAGATGGACAGATAGAGGAGACTGGGATGACCTCTGGACATCATCTCTTGCTCACACTTATTTTTTTTCTCATCTGCATGCCAGATTTATCATCATCGAAGTAAACCACTGAAAACTGCTCAATACATTGTACAATACTGAAAACTCATTGTTAGATACGGTATAAAACATTCAAATCCCATCAATAATGATGCAGTGATTATGCGGTACTTCCCTAATTAGATGAATAAGCAAAATTTGTCTCATCAAATACCGTAGATAACCAATGAATGGATATATATATGTATATCCTTCTTATTCATATATCATTTTTTAATAATATTTTTGAACAATAGAATGAAATCGACCAATTTATATAATAAGCAAAAAGTTAAACTATTAAGATGGAACGAATATTTGAAGTACGTGACATGTTCAAATCACTATGGTTTAAAGTTGGAGTAATTAGGTTAAGAGTGATTTGCATAACTTGTTATTTCAAAAAGGTAGATTTTCCTTCTTTTTTCCAAAGTTGTATGAAAATTGTGACCCAATAAAGAATCATTTGAATAGTATTACTATTTTAAAATTGGTCATGATTGTCATCTCAGTTATAGTTCTGTGGTCAATTAACTTGACTAACAAATTAATCAATTCGTTATGATGATTACTTCTTCTTGTATTTAAATAGTTTCACACTCAGAAGGCTATTCTATTTACATGTATGCATCACCGACAGTTTGTGTTATCAACGGATAAAATAAGACGAAGTGCAACCACAGCTGACATCCCATATCTTTCTCAGATGTTGCATCTTTTGGATGAAATGAAAGAATGCAAAATTTGGAACCGAATACGATGTTTGCCAACAATGATAGATGCTTTGGGCAACTAATGTTTATTTTATAGTATATCATAAATGAATTAATAAATCAATACATAACACTATAGCATTATCCCGACTATTTATTAAGAAATAATCAGAAAGCAGTCTTGTATAAGAAACAATATAAAATACCTTCATACATGATCATCGAGCATATTTAAATATTAAAGGCAAACTCTGTTTCCGTACCACTTTATAATGAGTAAAGACGTGAAAATTTCCATCGTTAGCCGTAAAAACAAAAAAATCCAAAATCGTGTATTTACATACCTTTTGCTAAAATTACATTTTTGGGAGTAAATGTTTAATATTCACTTGGAAGAAATACGTGTGTCTGGAATCAACATACAACAAAGTAAAACCGTTAATAAAACCTCCTTTCTGCTTGAACTGTCAAATTTCTGTTAATTTTTGGTTCATATTTAAAGCAGGTTTCCATGAATAATCTTGAGGATACAAAATAACGAGATAAAGCATACAAGAATTTTCTTGCACTTCATTTTAAATCACATTTTATTCGAAATTTTACAAATAAGGTTCACCATAACAATGACTAACTTATGTACTACTTTGAGATGGAGCACTACTTGCTCCATCCATCGTAGTTTCAGTCGATGATAAGGTGTAAGCGTGTAAGAGATCCGTATCCGGTGTATAATTCACCGTTTTCACGGGATGTTTATAATGATATTCTTTAATAAAACTCTTCAGTAAAATTGGCAAATTCAATTTTTCGACACCGTCGTAAGTCGTCAAACTTGCTATGCGAGCACGGCAGAGATGCTAAAATAAATATAATTTCTCACAGTTTAAGGTGTTTACAAAGAACAGAATCCCGATTTTTCATAATTGGCAATATATTGAGAAGTGCGACAAGTTCTCTTATTATGTTGAAACTTTTTAAAATTTCAGTATTTCAGTTTAGATTTCTGGTAACAACTTGGCAATGCCATGATATTCATGATGCCAGCTATCGAATAACTTTTTTCCTTTTGAAATTACCGAAAAAAAAATACATATACTGACCTGCAGTGGAAAAACAAAGTTTCTTGGAAGAGGTACCGATAACTGTGGTTCAAAAAATAAACACCTGAAAATCGATATTTTAAGGGAAAATAATGTTATAATTCACCTCATATGTGAACAGCAGTAACAATAAATCAAAAAAACTAGTTACCCAATAGTCAAGAAACCGAATCTAATAAAAAATACCTCATTCAGTATCAACAAATTATAATTTTAGTCTTATCGTAAAACACTTTCTTATTCCATATCTCCAAAACCTTACTTTATTGGATCTTTATAATATGCGATAAGCATAGTTATCGTGCTTGCAGAATAAATTGATGGATCAGAAAAATCAAAACTGAAGCGATGATTTTTTTGCTCAATACGTGCATGCAGCGTACGTTTATATCGACGAAACGATACTGAGAATAAATACTCTGATTGTGCACTATCACGCAACAAGAACGTACCTGAAATGCTTAGGAAAGCATTCCTTTGATTGGTGTCTTATAAGGACATCTTAACAGGTAAGTAGCATTGTTGAAAGATTGCCTACTAATGGCTAGCAAAGCTATTTACAACACTTTTGAAATGTCAAATTACAGTTCTAAGAAAATACAATTTTAAAACCATGCATTTCTTAGAAATACAAATTTCCCATAAAATAAAATTTGTAATAACATTTCTTAGAAATACGAATTTCCCATAAAATAAAATTTGTAATAACTTGCCTATTCGCTCAGAGTACTGCCAATCCTATAACCAATAATTTAGCATAAGTCAGAAAATTTTACCCTCTGGTTTGTTGTCCAGTAGCGCTTCCGCCTTATAACGATCCATAATGCCCCAGTAATACGATGAATTTACAATTAAATCGAGTCTTGGTACGAGGCAATTTGTATAGTGAACTGATGTATGCACTATGTATGGGTCATCCTTCGGCACCAGACCTATAAAAAACATGCGAAAATAAGCTGCTGTAAAATATGGCTAACAAAAGTCATAGTTTATATGATTAGACACAATGTAAAATTTCCAGTGTTGAAAAATGAAGACTATACCCTGTAGCAATGTTCGTGTAGCTGGTTCTGGTTGCTCGGCACCAATATCAGCAGCAAGCAGAAAGCTTAGCCGACAATTTCTGGTGGCTGAAAAAGTAAACAAATAAGCAGAAAGTTGATAATCAATCGTTATTTGAAGTTCAAATCAGAAAAATATGGACAATACCAGTTAATATGACAAGCTCTATATGCGATGAATTTAGTTAAAACAACGGTCATATTTCCTGCAGATTTCAATGAGTAAGATATAAAATACATCTTCAACTGTTATCAACAAATACATGGCATCAAATGAACGAAATGGATGCATGATTAACACATTCAAAAACGACGTCGCATTGGTCTAGATGCTTTTCGGACATATTCGTATGAAATGATAAGTCGATTGAATTATTCGCACAGCAAAATATCTCACTAAAGCAAATATGTTAACCCTAATTACAGCAATATACCTTGTACAGATTGTTGAGAATTAACTTCAGATGGAACAATAACTTCTCTCAATTCTGTATTCATTCCCGTTTCTTCATTAACATCTAATCTTTCATCATCAATAATATTTACCGGGAAACACGACAATAATACCATATGAATGCGCCTGAAAAAAAAAAAGGGGAGGAGAACGCTTATTAAGAACCAACAAAATTGAATTTTCAACTCTTTATAATAAAATAATTTATTTACACTGTAACTCTAGTCTCCAGAATGAAATTAAACCCAACTACAATTAATAAAACATGGTATACTACCATTAAAAATTATCACCAAGATACATTTAGTCCTAATCGTATTGAGCTAAGAAGACAGAATTCATTTCTAACATTTTTGTTTCTTCTTATCTCAGAAACTTTACCATGCAAGCATAAATTTTCAGAACTGTCAAGCAGTATGCATTCTCCTTCACGGATAACAAGATGTGATACATATGGCTTTCCTACTATCAATGAATTAAGGAACTTTTATACAAATTTCCGCAACCAAACAAATATTTTAATCGAAGTAAATCAGGTAGTTATAAATAAATCAGGAAGGAAATGAGGATAAACTGTCATAGCGAAACAACTAGTAGAGTAAATGTTAATAGCCTAATTGAAGATTACAGTAAACAAATGATCAAATATATTCTGTCAAAGAAACTGTGCTCTACTTACCTTATAATAGTTCCACTTCTTCTCGAATATGCTTCCATGGAAGATTTTAACATAGTTTATAAAATGATCGATACGTTGAACAGAAAAACGTTAATAAATGCTGTAATGCATGATGACGTCAACAAAATAAAGCTGCGATACGAACAGCAACATTTCAGTCCTGTGAAATGATATTTCCCGGCAAAACAGATTTTAAATCACAATAACATTTCTTCCGCACAGCAAATTTTCCACATTAATCATCATGACTGCTTTGAAAACTACTACCAGTTCAACCAGCATATGAATTAAACATAATGAAGTCACAGCAGGTCTTTTTCTAAAAACCAATTCATGGCTTCCTTCAACATGTCGCCGTAACACATACTGCACTGCATAACTGGACATTAATGATATATTAGAACGAACAAACAAATCGATTTTAAAATTTCACAAAGTGGCCTTCAACAATAATATTAAAGTGAAAATAGTGAGGGGAAAAACGACAACGCTCGAAAAAAACTGTCAAAAATTTCAAACAAATGAAAATTTAAAAAATGTTGAAAAAACAATCAACAATCAAACCTTCCAATCACGTTCTGATTTTATACAGCAGTACTAACTGTCAAATCATTCGTTAAATCCGAAAACTTAACATCTGGATCAGATCAGCAATTAATAATCAGCCGATTTTCAAGGGATAATATCTTCACAATTTATTTAAAATTTCGTATTTTTTTAAAAACACTTATACTACATTTTGCAAGTTGATTAATTGCTGCCAATTCCATAAATCTCGTATTGCTCTAATCAAATTTACTATACATATAATTTGAATATAGGAATCAAATGACGGAAAAGAAACCCTGTACCTTGTAAAATTACTGTTCTTGATATTGCAACATGTATATGTCCGAAATTCAATGCTTCCTCTGAAAAAAAAAGACAAAAATTAGAATAGAATGAAGTCTCTTAAATGATCGTTGGCCATTTTATATGGAACTCAGTAATACTATGCAAAATCACGAGAAAAATTTTCCAAACATCGACAACTGAAGTGATCTAAATACTTTTTATGTCTTGCTATTAACAGCAAATGCATCACTGATTCCAAATACGACAAAACTATAAGATTTTTTACGATGTACCATTACAAATTATGAAACGTCTTCATCGAAAGACATTCAAGCATTTGATGTAATTCAGTTTAGCATAGCACAGATAAATCACAAAAAGAATATGAGTGAAATTCCTATAGAAGATCTAATTGCTACCTGAATAATTTCTGTTAGATACAAAAAATCTCAGAAGCAACTGTAAATACTGCGAGGTAATAATCCATGAGATCCGTCCATGAAGTAATTTTATTAGGGTGAAATATTTCAGAAAGAAAAAATAAAAATAACATTAAGTCAAACATAAAATTAAATCCCCCACTGGTGTGAATCGAAAGTTTGAAAACGACTAACTTTTTCACAAAAAACAACTTTACGAGTGAATGTTTGATAAACCATATTACCAATAACAAGGAAAATCAAAGCCAATGAAACAGTTATCACAATTCCGGCTGAACCTTTGATTATCATTGCACCATAATCGGTTCCTCGCTATGTAAATAAATATATGTTACACAACATTACTGATAAGAAGTTACCAAATAACAAAGAAAAAAGAAATTTCTGAATAATTTAAATAAAGTGAATAAATTACCAGAATAACCCGCTGGAAAATAATAGAAATTGTACAGTAGAAAAAAAGAAAAACCTTTAAATATCCACTAAACACCTAACACAATAGATTCTTAAACACATCTTGTGAAGTCGATATAATCATTAGTCGATAATTCATTTCATTGTAACGAAAAGCTAGTTTAGATTAAAGTTTCACATTTGAAATAGTTTTTCTCTCGTAAAAATTTATACTTTTTCATAAATTGCGTTTCAAGAGTTAAAGATTTGAAACATCTGTCTCCCCGTACACTAATTCTCCTTTCATACGTCCTAAAGGGATATCTGAGTATTTGATGAAAATTTTCTTTTCAAACCGAACACATTAACAAAAATGCTGCAAACAACTAATGATGCAGTATTCCAAACAAGGAAAAGTATCACATCAATTGAAGGATAAGATTATGTTTACTATGAGCAAAAATTAACAAACTCTTAGCAAATTTTGATAGAAAATGGCTCGTTTCAAAAATATCATACCTGTTCCAACATTTTCGAATCATATAAAACGGCTCACAATGCAAGTTGATATGATCGAGATAATAAACGTGCTAAAAAGAAAAACAAAATCACCTATCACGATGATAAAATTATAATTGACAAGTCAAGCCTAAGTGATATATTGATAAATGGAGATCGTTGTGGCAATCATTAACTATATTAATGATACAATACACTATCGCGGCTAGCACATCAACGTTCTCGTTTAATTCATATGATGGGACCAATTTATCGGATTAGTTTGTTGACAGCTTAGATCATCTAACTTTTAACAACTAATCCATCAGTATACTTTTGGTTCAGTTAAAGTTTCTTAGAATAGATGTCACACTACGAATAGATATCGTTCAATCCTGTCTGATTGGAGAACAATGACAGCTTATCATACTCTTCAAGACTTTCAAAGTACTAACAATAATAATAATAGCAATTGCCGAACTTTTGCAATACATTAATTTATTACTGTATTGCTTTCAAAGTGCAAAAGTGTAGAAGCAAAAGTGAGGATTTCGAAACTAAGTTCGATCCTTGCTAAAACTTTCGCATTCATCTATACTCCCATCTGTATAACTCCACAAAATATCAATCGTAAATAGCATCTTAGAAACCGAAATTAAAAGAGTAAATAAAAACGGGGAAAAATGAACTTGGCACTTCATGCAAATAATATTTTGTTCATTGGCGAATCAATAATTAGTGACCACATCAATAAACGTGAAATTTATTTCAGCAAAGTTATACAAGGTTAAAAGATTAAATGCATAAATTAAAATAATGAATTCAAGATCATGCTGAATAAAGCACATGTGAAGATTATGATATTAAAGTGTTAAGTATAAGCTTATACGAACAGATCAAGATAAGAATCGTAATCAAATTATATGCCTAAATATGGCAACATTTACACAATGCCGTAAACTTCAAGAACATCAAAAACATCAAAATGGCGCTAGATTCTAAGATAAGATTTCTAAGAAAAAATAAGGCGAAATGACAAAGATGGAATTCTGAAAACAAAGACAAATCATCTTGCAATATAAAAAACCATTCATATTGGTCTTATTTACCAACTGCTACAATGGAGAAATGATACAAACTAATACTTTTTAAAATTTGACAAAAGAATTTATTTGTCGATACATTGTATGCAAAAAATGATATGGCCAAAAACGAAGCAGAAAGGATAAAAAGCGATTTAAAAACTTAGTGCGAAAAATCTCCTATGAAAGGTGTATAAAATATGAACTGTTACATCAGTGACTAAGATAACATTCAGATGTTTCACCTTATTATTTGCTCAAGAATAAAACTTAGAGAAATTCTTTCATTCTTGCGAAGAACGTAGTCGTAGGGATTTCGAGTCAAGATGCTCTTTTACTTCTTACCTCGTCCTCTGCTGGAAGCTCCACGGCTAGCACGTGCTCCACGGCTGCCACCATCGCCAGTTTTCCCACCGCGTGTTCCTAAAAAATATATTAATACATTTAAAAAAAAATATATATTTAAATGCAGTGTTTTTTCTACAGAATTGACCGCCTTACATCTGGGAAAAAAAATTTCACAAATTTCAAAGAAATCAGGAAAAACAGATGCCTTCTTTCATATTTCTTTCACCGACAAACAACTTTTGTCCTTACTTTTACTTTCACTAGCAGAACTGGTTTTTTTCTTTATGACATCAGTAAAAGTATCGTCATTATCGTTTTCTCCGCCGGAATCTTCAAAATCATTTTCATCATCGATCTGCTCAACCAAATTACCTTCTTCGTCTACTTCGACACCCAAATCTAAGCCTTAAAATTAATTTTTTTAGGTAGAAACTTCCACCACAATAAGTTTCTATGAAATCTAAATATGTCCTAATTTTTCATTCCAAACATTCCTCGAATGCTTACATGATTGCTAGCATTTGAAAGGCCGTTGCATAGCCAATCCACAAGAACTTAAATCATTTGATAAAATTAAGTGTGCCATGCGCAACTATTCGGACTCAGTGATCCTTTAAATTATAAAAATTCACCTCCTAATTTCTTCCGTCCTTTTACTAAAGTATGCAAAGCATATGGCAAAATAATATGCTCCTTATTCAAAGTTCGTGTAAGAGCTGCTTTAACCTGAAAAAAAGAACCGAAAGATCAGATCTTCTACGAGGAAGTTAATAACTCAGTAAATGAAAGAAAAAGTTAGCCAAAATTTCGAGAAAAGAAAATAAATACCTTAGTTGGAATAGCAGCTCCTGGATCCTTCATGCCTGGCCAAACAGCCAATTCAGCAACTGATTCGATATCATCTCTGACCAAATTGTATTCCTTGTACAGACTGATAACGTCACTGAAATTGTCCTGTGAGGATGGAAAGAAGATTGCTTCCAAAATAATTTATGGTGTATATCTTTACAGGCACAAAGCATTAAACACTATAAATCAAATGTCCCAAATATCGAAGATAAGCTAAGGTCCATAATCTTGGACAGATTAAATGTCGCAATATACTTTCAAAGTAAATATGAAAAAGGATCACTAACTTTACACCATCGTTCTCCTTATCCAATAATGGGCGGCAATAGTTCTGTCGCAGAACAGGAACATAATCAAGCACCATAGGGTAAACGGCAGCAAATGTTCTGAATCCTTACTATATGGTGAGAAAAACCAGATGAAATACAAAATACAAAAAGATATATAACAACCTTGAAATAAGCTAATTGTTGAAAAATTAATTTTCTAAAAATAACCTCAAATTCATAAAAAATTTCGATACTTGACTACAGACTGGTTGACATGGAAGTCATTGTAATAGATAAAACATTATTTCATCACATATTTTTATTACATGACCATATCAGGCAAAATCTATATGTTAAGTAGTACGCCTACTGCCAAGTTTTCATTAGTTACCACTTAGAAACACCTTCAAATAAGTTACCATATAGAGGTGATTTATTTTTTGACATGCTTTACTTATACGTATTCCACTGCAAAGAATGCCAACCTCAGATAAGTGTGAGTTGTCAGCTGACGTAGCAATCGCTGACGTTTATTGAACGTCGAATTTTTCCCCAACCATGAAGGAAAATTAATCATTCCCTTCATATAACCGTTCATGCAGAAAGTTGGTGCCACAGATGAAAAGAACGCCTATAAATAAACTCAATATGCATTTGAAGCACTTTTTTTTTTTTTTTAGTTCACAAGAAAACAAGGAAACATATGTTGGCGATGTTACTTCAAAAGTAAATATATGCCCACGGTTTTTTTTCAACAACAACTAACTTGTTCATTAAGCAGTGTCCATGCACCTGTTGTTCGAATAATTCGATCGATTATATCGCCCTCTGAGATACTGTTCGCAGCCTTCCTCAATGCAGACAGCCGTTCAATAGTACTGCAACTCATAAAACACTGACCACTTGATATAGGTATATCAAGTAAAACATAAACTAATTCGGAAAACTCGACTCATGTAGTTATCGCTATGTGAGAGAAACAACAATAACGTTTAAAGGTGATAATATTTAAAGTACAGTAAACCATATCTTGGAAAATCCAAATAAACTATTTTCGTATCAGAAGTCGGATGTCTACTTTCCTCTAATAAATGGATAAGGTTGTTCCTGAGATAATGTGTTCGCAGATGCTTTTAAAGTTATTTTAAAAAGTGCATATAATTATATCATTAAGACACAGAGGTTGAATAATTACTTTAAGTGAATATTCCAACGATGTGCAGATCAAAATAATTTGTGAAAGTTATGCAATGATTATTTTGATTTCCTTTTTTCTTTTTTTGAAAATCACCTCATCTTTGAGTTGTGCACAAATGGATAATTTTCTTGCACAAAAAGTGGCATAATTGAAGGATCAACAAAAAACATCTGTTGTTTCTCCCATGTTTTTGTGTCAGTGTTCAAAAGGCGACGCGCTGCTTCGAAGGGATTCTGTAAGATAATTTCATTTTTATCCTCAACTGGATTTGTTTTATTTTTCTATTTCGCGTACATTTCTGGTCTTCCTGGCATGGCGGCTCAAATATTCAAGTATTATTAATATGTAAACTGCGATTACAAAATGTATCGAGTATACCTATTGTCCGAAACGAAAATTAGGAAGATTAAAATGGACAAGTCAAAATATGAAAAGAAATTTTCCCAACAGTTCAGTGTAAGCATTTATTTCAAATAAAAAAAAAAAACGATTTCTACAAATTAGAGAAATCTAAATCAAAATCATTTCTACGATTATTCCTAAAATCAAACCTTACCTGGCAAAACTGCCGGATATTATCGGGAGAAACGGTTCCACTCCGAAATATTTTTTCAAAACATAGTGGCTACAAAATCCCATACAAGTACTGATTGAAAACTTACAACAGCAGCATCTTTACTCTGCACTTCCTTTCCATTTCCACTTGAGCTTAACAACTGTAAATTATAAATTGATTGACGAACATCATGTTGCGCAGCTTCAATAATTTCATCCATTTCTTCCTTATCAACTTTCAAATGTTCTTGGCATGCGATGGTAAGCAATCTGGCCTGAAAAAGTTACATAAATAAAGGATATCTGGATTAATTTTCATAATAAATCACATTCATTACTGAATTTGTCAAATTCATGGTGTATTTTGGACAAAAAGGAATTTATTTTTTAAAATCTAGTTTTTTTGAATTAGTTTTTGTTTCAGTTTTTAGTTTCTTATACAATGTCGTTTTCTACAACTTGGTTTTTTGTTTATCCGAGTTCGTTTTTGTTTTTCTCCTTCTTAGCTGGTCTAGGATTTGCTGAACATAGATTGGGCAATCATCAAGTTAGAAACATTTCTAAACCTCGCAAAGTGATGAGATTTTTAGAAATTCCAATTAAAAGTAGCAACACAAAAATCAATTAAAAAAAAAACAAGCACAAACAAAAAGAACTTTTGCTCAAGAAAGAACCTAACCCTGATCTGCTCAACACGTGGTCTCTGGAAGCGCACATCAAAACAGTAATTTACCAATGAACGCATCTTTTGTGATTGCCGATCATTACATATACAAATTATTGGTATCAGTGTTTGCTTGATCATTTGTATTAATTCAGCAATCTGCAAGCAAAATATTGGAACCTCAGCGGAACTACGGTTACTTCAGTGATATCTGGAACTAAACTTTGAATATGAGGATTTTACCCAGAACTAAAGTTATTTGATAGTCAAGTCAAAACACAGTTAAGACAGCCTAGTTTTTGAAGCATCGATACCAAATTTTCGGTCTAAACACTAACCAACAAATTTGTATTAGAAATAAATAATGAATAGATAACTTTTGTAATTTCAAAACTTACTCCTGCCCGGTCATCATTTCCACTCATACCATCTACTTCATCCATAATCAGCACATGAGTAATCTCGTTGGATGTATTTACTGCAAGAAGAAAGAACTTGATCATCGACACTTCACTGCTTCAAGTACGCCAATTAAACTCTATCTTTTCAGTTTTTAACTTAAATAAAGTCTCATTTTCCAGGATTTCTTATTGTTTAACAAAATTTACTTTTATGTGCGACCGAACCATTAAAGTAATCGTCTATTTGTTCACAACCGATTACTTCCGATGTTTGTGCTTCTAATGCTTTTTTATTTCTCACATCTGACGCATTTTTCTCCACATACCGCAATTTAAGTTCTTTACAAGCCATTACAGCACACGTGGTTTTACCAACGCCTTGGAAAAATACGGAATTAAAAGTTCAAAATCAGGACAAAAACTTGACATCCCTAATCAATGTAAATTTATAATCACTTTGGGTATAATGAAACAAGTGATGGTACAATTAATTTACAAGTAAAAAGCACTGGCACAGTTAAAGTTTAGGATTCTTGTGAGAAAATAACAGTGAATATAGAAAACTGACCAGGTGGACCGCTTAGCATCACTGCTTTGAAAGTTGTACCATCGCTTTGCGCTAACCAAGGAGGAGGCCGTGCTATATAATGTTACACATTAGTATACATAAAGTAGACACATAAACTGTGAAATTTTCTTAATTTTAGCCTCTTCGTAATGTAAAAGAGCTACAACGTAATTCAAAAGCCGAAAAGTTTTGCAAAAAAAAAAAAAAAACTACAATACGAGAAGTTCGATATCCGTCAATATAGAACTGATAGAAGGAAGCTATAGGAAGATCATGAGTTACCTTATTAATTCATATTGTTTATTTGAAAATTTACTTCTTATTTCCTTAAAGAAAAATTCCACTCACCTTTTTTCTGCTTGCCACCTACACCTAAGTGATTGTTTGCCCAATTCCGGAGCCAACCCAGCAATTTATTCATTGGAGATTTTTCCCCGTTTTGTCCAACTAAATGTTTCACATTGGTCGGTTTGTATTTATCAACCCATGGCAAGTATGCTTCCTAAAATCTGTCATGCACGAATCTGATATATAGAAATTGTACTATGGACTCGTTTGACTAAGAGATCTTTTATTAGTATCAGCACAAATTCTTTGATATGCATGGAAAAACTTCAAAATTTAAACAATAAACTTACCGTCTGAGCAGGACTTTCAATCTCCGCTAACTCATCAAGTTCCGAAGTCTTCAATTCTACAGTTTTCTTCATTTTCGACAACTTTTGCTCAGCCATCCGGCTCCTTGACACTTTTTTTTCTTTGGCAATACCACTCGTTTTTGTTTTATCGGTTGTTTCATTCCTTATTTCAAATTTTTTCCTTGTCTCATGTTCCTCCTTCCGCTTTTTCGTTCCTTGCATCTGATCTTCTTCTTGCTCCAAGATAGTAACATCCTTCTTTGCTGTTACTGATTTAACTGAAGCAGATGAAGCAGTTTTGGGGGTTTTTTTCATTTTAATTGCTTGTACTGGTGCTTGAGATGATTTACAGTTTTCACCATTCAAGGCAACCGTTTCTCCTCCGCCTTTGCTTTCTAGAGCTGCTTCCTGCTTTGATTTTCTTCGCGAGGTTTGTGGTGAAATCGTTACTTGAACACTTTTCTTCGGCGGACTTGTTTTCTTGGTAGCGTTCCCACTTTGTTCTGTGTTCTTTTTTTTTCTGTGGATGTTCTGCCGAAATTGCGGAAGAATTCGACTGGATTAATTGCCTCCAATTCCGGGACAAGACTCGCTTCCTTCTCTGAAAATTTCGAATTAACCCAGAGTAAGTAATTCCTAAAATTCGATTTTAAGGAAAATTTAAAATAAATTACACCAACTGACAAGACAATTCCAACAAACTTTTCAGAGAATCCTTCTTTTTGATAGCATCAATGCGGTTGAAATTCAGCTTCTCATGACCTGGTGGCGTTCTGCAACGTTTCTTTTTTGTTGGCGGTGCTGGAACGAATTCATCCATGTCTTCCCTTTCATCGAGTTCTTCCTGAATCGTATATTGGAAGAAGTAATTGCAAAATTTCGCAAAAAGAAAAAAAACACATGTCCAACAAATGTTGAGTTAGCACAATTTAATAACTTACATCAGTAGTAGTATCCGTTGTTCGTTTCAACAAACTCTCCGTCGATTTGCCATCCGCTTTTTTCAAAGAAATTTTTTCCCCTCTTTTAGGAGGACGGCCCTGAGAAGCTGATGGTGGCAGGTCGTCCTCATCGTCTTCAAAGGAGAAAGCATACCAGTAAAAACAATTATACATATTTTTGAGTTATGTTTTCACTATCTTATTGGTGCTCAATTAAAGAGTTACTAAGAATGTTTTGGACAATTCTTTAAAGATCCATTCAACCAAGAATGAAAAAAAAGAATGAAAGAACTAAAGGACAACAATAAAGAACACGGGAATAAAGGACATTACCAGACGATAACAGAATCCTCTTTTTCGCTCGTTTCTTCTGTAATTCTTTACGTAGCGAACGTGGCAATGGATTCTCATCATCAGCTGTAAACAGTTTAAAAAATTTTGAGAATAACTGAATAATTGTCTGAAGTAGCATTTCAAATATCGTTAAAAACTAAAAATAAAAAATAAAATGATGGATTTTCACACACTACAATACGATTGAATTTTACATTCAAACAGACGAGTCTCATTTCAATCATTGAACAAATCTGGATAGACAGAAAACATTTAAGTAATCAAAAATGAAACTGAGACGACGGCAAAAGTTTTAACCCAGATAGCATTTTAAGCAAAACAAAAAACACTTTAATCAAAACGTTAAAATCGTTGTAAATTCAAAAAATAAAAAATCTCTATCTGCTAGAGAAATGAAACGAGGCAAATACAGAAAACTGGAAGATACAAAAAATATCCCGCAAATAATCCACATGATATTCCACATCGACATAATATTCCAAAATAAATATAATATATATATAATGTAATATTATAGTATAATATAATATAAATATATTACCAAATATAAATATAATATT